TTGATCTGTGAGTTATAATACAGGAATTGTTACATATTAACGGGTCTCTCTAGATCTGTAAGTTATAATACAGGAATTGGTACATTATAACGGGTCCCTCTAGATCTGTAAGTTACAATTGAGAACTTGTTACAGAACAACGGGTCACTTTGTAGTTTACCGGCAGTTTTCGAGATAGACGATACCTGACCGCATTTAAAGGTCAAATCTCGTCAATAAATTATTAACCTGCTTGGGTGTACTTGGTTCCTGACGTCCGCACGTAATCGGAAACAAATATCGCTATCAAACCAATTGATAGTCGATGAAAGATCTCGTTTACATTTACATTTTAAAGATTAAACAAATGAGCTGGAACTTGACCTTTGATCGTGCACTTGCTCATTTAACCTGGACTTTAATCTAATGACCTTGCTTTTCTTCAAGTGACTTTTCGTTTGATTTTTTTAAAAACCTTAATATTATAACAAAATAGTTAGCGTTTATATGCATTTAAAATTCATCCTGGCCTTGACCTTCAATGTGGTGACGCGTTAGTTTGGTGTTAAAGTCAAAGTCATTGTAACTATTGATAGATAATCAATTTCTGTGCAGTATTTTTAGTTCTGTTTGGCCGATTACATTCGGACTTTTTTAGTCCTTCGAAGAAAGTGTTTATATGTCAAATGTCGAGGTCACTAATTCTACAAATAAAACTAGATATTATTGCAAATTTTATAAGAGTGTTATCAATATTCTCTTATGACACGATGAAGCAACACTGGCCGAAATAAATGTCTCCGATCTACAAGTCAAGGTCATCAGGACAAAGGTCACTGTCAAATCAAACATTTTACTGGCATGATTATAAGGTTGGTATCTCAACTATGTCAAAAAATATGACTCCGACATAATATCCCTTTAGGTGTGTGACCCCCAGCGGTGAATTCTTACATAACACTTGGGTATTAAAGAACATTTCCCCTATTTGGCCACGTCCTTCAGACCCTGTGGGCCTGGACTCAACATTTATACAAAATATGTTCCCCTTCCCCTAAGGATGCTTCTCACTAAATTTAGTCAAATTCTCCTGAGTCACTCATGACTAGAAGCATTTTGTAGAAAATGTTGACAAACGACAGATGGACAACGGACCCTGCACTATCTCTACTTTACTTTTCCTTTAGTGCCAGGTGAGCTATAACCTTTTCCAATGATTAATGCTATACAGCATAATGAGAAATTTATTTGAAATATAATAATATATCATATGATGACAATAACAAGAGTAATGTCATAGTACATGATGCACCCATTGTCATTTAAGGTTCCATACCTTGAATGGTTCAAGAGAACTGGTCTTCAAAAACTGAAACTTGTGATTCAGCCTATCTGCTTCCTTGATAACTGAAGAAGTATTTTAATGGAGAACTTCCTCATAGCAAAAATCACAAATACAATACTAGCTTGATAACTGTACAAAGTTCTGAGTGATTATCTTGAATGGTTTCAGGGCATTGGTCTGGAAAGCGACCTTGCACTGACAGATGGACAGATGCAGGAACGGAGCTCAAACGTGATTATGATGGTATATGATTATAATAATTATAAGTGAAAGATATAATCAGATTGTCTTGAAAAGTTTTATTAATATAATAATTTATTTAGATACATGGTAAATACCATATACACTATCATAACAAGGTAATGTAAGGGCTAATCTGCCCTTCATATATTGTATATGTTTACATTTGACATCATAATATAAAAATGAACCCGATTCTATGTACTTCCTGGGTAAAAAATTGTGCAAAAGCTGTCCAGATGAAGCCTCACACATAGAGACAGAACTAGTCGGCCAAAAGAATCCACTCACTGGTGATACTTTGGTATGTTCTGATCCATTTTTATATTTTAATTTCGTCACCCTGCATACCTTTCAGTATCCATAACCAAAGCAAAGCACCCCAATGATTAAGCAACACGTTCGGAACTGATGTTGGCTCTACCTCCTTAGTTTTTCCAATCTAGTGTACATACGTATATAAATAAAATGAGGATTCAGCGTTTTTCCAACAAAAGAATTGTAAACACTTCAAACAAAATTCAAATCATAGCAACTAAAAACTTCAAATGCTTTGTGTTTGGCCAATATAACATTATTATCTATGGATTTCAGTACAGTTTCAACATAGCATTTATACCTTTTCCTTAAAATTGAGTTTAAATGTCAGGTATATGCAGAAACTGGATAACACAGTTTTACAGATCAGTTGTATTAGTTATAAACAACTGAAGTATCACAACAGTTCATTGTTATAGTTTCTATCAGTTTCAAATTACAATGGACTTTGAAAATGATTATGTATGTGATGAACATTTGACGAAATGGGGAATTTTCAACCACTCAAAGGTTAAATTTTCATTGAATACCACAAGGAGTATTCTACATTATGAGTTTTGTTTTCAGTCGTTTTTGCCTAAACTCAATTCTACAAATAGATACCATGTACCAGAACAGTCATTTGACACAGTTTAGGGTAATGAGATCTGTTGTCTTTCCCTATCAAACAAACAAAAGTTCAATCTGTTGATTATTTCTATAATGAGGGACAACAAATTTACCTTATACCTTTCCAAACTCGGACACTACATATTTACATTTTCTTCTTACAAAGGAAACAAAAATTAATTTTCCTTACAAAAGAATCATGAAGATTACCTTTTCTAATGGCGAGAGATAACTATAATTAAAGTTTTCACTATCTATAACACAAAACTCTCTCCTCTTAAGTCTTTATATAATGCATGTACACAAACAGATAAATCAAGGTCCATGTTTACAGTTATAATAGATTTTTGAAATGTGCAGGAGAAGCTATCGTACCTCCTCTTACCTTTTTATATAACATGTCAATAACCAAAGGTGTCTTTTCTTCAGAGTGGAAAAAAGCAAAGGTCACTCCAGTTTTTAAAGCAGGAGACCAAACTTCAGTAAACAATGATAGGCCAGTTTCTGTACTGGTAGGTCTAAGTAAAATACTAGAAAGACATGTGCACAATTCTTTTTATGACTTTTTAATTTCTAATAAACTTTTAAGCGACAGTCAATTCGTTTTTCGACCAAACCATTCCACCGAGACCACTTTGTTAAGCGTAGTAGATAAATGGCTGAAAAATACTGACGAAGGTTATCTTACCGGTGTTGTTTTTATTGACCTTCGGAAGGCTTTCGATACAGTTAACCATGATGTTCTCTTACATAAGCTCAAAGCATATGGTGTATCAACTTCAGCCTTAAGTTTTTTCAAATCCTATCTGACCGGGACAACACAAGTAGTTAGTTTCTCTGGTGTACTGTCAGATGTTCTCCCCATTGACATTGATGTGCCCCAGGGCTCTATTTTAGGGCCATTGTTAATTATTTTGAACATAAATGATTACGCAAAGTGCTTGAAACACTCTGAAGCTATGATGTACGCAGACAACACATCGCAGAGTATAAAGGGTAGAACAGTAGAGATTTTAGAAGAAAAAATGTCTGAAGATCTCTTAAATACAGTTAAATGGATGAAAGAAAATAAATTAAGTCATAATTTAACTAAAACCCAATGTATAATGATGTGATCCTCTCAAAAGCTTGCACGATGTTGGCAGCTCAGTTTAAAAGTAGGGGATCTTACCATTGAAACTGTTAAATATGCAAAACTACTGGGTGTTTATATTGATTGTTGTCTCTCTCGGAAAGAGCATACCGAATATATCGCTAAAACAATTTCCCAAAAACTTGGTGTGTTAAGAAGGTTAAGGTCATTTATATCAAATGACATTATCATGAAAGTATACAGCAGTATTGTTTTCATACATTTTATATACTGTTCAACTGTCTGGAGTGAACCTAGCAACAAACTTTATATTGATAAGATTTTTATATTTCAGAAAAGAGCAGCCAGGATTTTGTTAAATGTTAAACAGGGTCTTTAGCAAATAGGTTTTCTTATGTCAAAAATGTTAACAGCAGATCAACTAGAGCTTCTGAATCAAATAAACTGTATGTTCCAACTGCCAGAACAATTATTTCAAAAGGTCCTTTGTATATACAAGTTCTGTTTTATGGAATGAAGTAAGTAATGCAGTAAGAGACTCAGACAGTATTGGGGTTTTTAAAAGCAGATACCTGCGATATTACTTCACAAAGTCTTAGATTTATTCCACCTTTTTCATTTATGTACAAGCCTATTTAAAAAAAAATAAAATCTTTTAGTATATATGAGTAGCATATCTCTGATTATCTCTTTTATATTGATGTTTGAATAAAATTAATCTTAGTTTTCCAAATTTTGTTTATGATAAGTTAAGTCAAATGTAATATGATAAATTATTTTACCCCATCAACTTCAATGTTTCTTTTATATTACACACTGTATTAGTGTATGTTCTGTCAATTTTTACCTTTTGCTATTTGCATTGTATGTATATATGACTATGATAATGCTTTAATCTTCACATTTATTAACATTTGTGTGATCACGCAAGTGTTCAAAAATAAATTATATTAAAATTTTTATAATAATCACAATATTGTAAGTAACATGACTTTGATAAAGGTACTATATTGCATTGTTATACTATCATCTTTAATTGTTATCATGCTTGTATATATCTATTGTTGCAGGGCCATATTGTAAACTAGACATTGTCTAAATACGTAACCATAGTTAAATTAAAGATATTATTATTATCATTATTATTATTATGTCTAGATATCATATTCCTGTGGTAGTAAAGGTTTGATGAGAAAGTAACTGACTACATTTTTTTCTCTTGCTACATAGCAAATAAGTACTTGTAACTCACAGTTCACAGTCAATTTACAAAATCGCTGGCAATATTAAATACAATAATACAATAGAACTCAATAACGTTACAAAAATATAAAAATTTGATAATAAAATGATCACACGACATGAGATCAAATGAAATATTTTCAATACTTAAATAATTTAAGAAAACAAACATCATAAAAAAATGACACATGCCAAAAAGCATGATTTCACAGCATCACATGATTATGGAAAATTAAACCTAACTTTTCTTTGGTGCTTTGAACATGTGTGGTCCTCGAGAAAAACTGTTTGTAATTATACTATGCATGGGTGCTAGTACAAATGTAGGAGAAAATCTCCAATAATTCACACAGCACACATTCACATTAACCAGAATTTCATGTATCATTAGTTGTTCATAATTTACATAGCCATGATTTCAAACTGCATATTGGATAGAATTATCCAGGATTTCAGGCAGCATTTCATAAATATTTTGTTGATGAGGTGTCCCAAGTCATACCATCATCTTCACTTTTCAAGAATGGCATAGGAAATAAGAAGTTCAGATACCAATGTGGCCCAAATATTGACCTCAAATGATTCAGAGGTGTTGTCTGAAACTTTTTATTACCTTTCAAAAACTCATAACTGGTTTGACCACTCAGAATAAGATTACATTGCCAAACAAAGAAGTAGCTTCCACCTCCGATCCCTACAAAGGTCATGTACAAAAGCAAGACCAAGAGGACAGTTGCAAAGTCCTGTCGTCCCAATAGCCATAGTATCGTAGTGTAGGGGAAAAAGTACTTATAGAACTCTGTACTGAACAGTGTTATATAGGATGAACTGAGGTATCTCTCAAGAAAGTAAAATCCATACACGGTTCCCAGGACTCCATAAAAACACAGGCAGATGAAATAACGCTGGTTAAAAAATCCTATACAACAGCCTGTAAAATAACAGTGATGGTCCCTTTTCAAAACACATCGGTCACAAATATTACAGTGTCGTGTGCGAATAGGTACCTGCCTGTCACACCGTTGACACATCCCCCAGTCATCTTGCATCCTCGCGTTGAACATTGGAAGGTCCTTTGGAGAGCAATATAATGATTTCACTGCACCATGTAATATCAATCCATAGTTCATAAAGAAGTTTGAAATAATGAACCAGCTAAACGCTTTGTAATAGAACAAACTTTCGGGAGCTTTTTGCTGAATGACACAATAAAATGGTATTGTTAAATAATTTGAGATAAACAGCAAGAGAACAGAATGCAATAGAATATAACTCATTGCTGCATAGTTTATAAGAACTACTTTTCTTCGATTGCTAGAGACAATATCAAATTGTGCTTTCCCATCACGATAGTCATTAATTGACTCCATACTGCTTACAAGATTCTGAGATGTAGAGATCGCATTAAAGACAGCTTTCTTCATCATGTTGTAAATTTGTACACAAAAAGAAATTTCAAATACTGTACTTTGGCAACAAATTGTTCCTTTTCCTGGTCTCAGTTATGAAGAAAGTTGGGAATACGCTCCATTTCGGTTTCACTGCAAATTAAAAAAAATCTTGAACTAATGCTTTGATGCTTTGCAGTATTTGATTGATTATTTTACAAAGTAAGAATTGAAACGTGACTGGCAAATTAAGTTGACTAATTACATAATTATACAGAGTGAGAAATAATATCAAAATGGCGGGTAAAAACAAGGCTTCGAAAGGTCACGTGATGAACTTGGCTATCTCCAATCAAAACAGTGATTGGTGATAGACACAACAGCGAGTGTTGACTAGCGTTATTTTGAAGCTGATAATATTCATCTATTTCTCTCATAGCGTTATAATTTTGGGAAGAGTCTAAATTTAATTATTACAATGCTTGCCCAGAATCAAACACATGGTAAATAATAATGAAATGTAACCATTTAGAATGCCAACTGCCACATGCATGTCAAGATCCATGAACTAAATCTTTGCATGTAAGCATCATGTACCAATGGAATAAGCATTAATCAAGTCTTCGTTAATGACCAACAACTGCATACATAAGAAGAGACAGTGCCCAAACAAGAACGCCCAAGAATTATTAAATAACACACATGGCACAATGTATCATGACTTTGCATGTCCATTCCTGTCTAGCAACAGTGCACATTGATTAAAATCTCAACTGACTGACTAACCTTTCTGTGTTTTGAGCAATTGAGCCAGGCAAAGCAGGTCCCTGGAGCTAATGGGGAAATTTTGTCAAATGATTTTACTACTTAATGCAATACCGTCACATAACGTTTAGCAACACTATATCCTTGCCATGCTAGTGTTCATTCTAACACTCGTTTCATCTTAAAACTAATCTGTAATGTTGCTGAAGAAACTGTGGTGATTTTTCACCATTATCTATTGTTGTCTGTGTTTTTAAGTTATGTTTGCAGTACTATGTGTCTAGTTGTTTTTATATCTCTGTCAAAATACTTGTAAGCTCTTCACAGTTTATTATGCTCATCATTGCCAGTCAATCGACGTAAAACGTCTTGTATAACGAGTTGTTTCCCTTCGTCAACACCAATCCTTCATTTGTTTAACGTAAAGTTTTAACAAGGTCTATTCCAGTCTTTTTATTAAATGTCAGAAATTAAATGAATAACGACATTTTAGAATATACTTACGGATTAGTTGTGATAACTTAAGGAAAGAATTCACAATTTCAAAAAACAATTTTTTTCAGCTTTTGGCGTCGGAGCAGACAAGTCAGCAGCTAACCGGAAGTTGTTCGTTTGAAATTTCTCTATATGCGCCTGCGTCAAAATGGTTGCGTCGAACATTTTGAGCGAGCGGGAAGCAACGCCTTATTTCCTGTTGTAGATGATCAAATGCGACTCCAGGACAGAATCTGTCACAGAAATTGAAATTTGAAATAATTATTAGAATATTCAACTCTGAGAGGTAACGAAATTCGAAATATTTGTCTAAATTCCCTTCAAGTTTTTAAACGTTAAAATGCCGTTCCGCCATATTTTCGATTTATGTATATTCGAATAACATCAAAACAAATACATGTGTGCTGCATAAAATATTAAACTTTTTTTGGTTACAGGTCTTCGAGATGTTTTCAGTAACATAAGCTCGGTTCTCTTTTACCATTTGTACTGTGAATGTATGATCAGTAACTGCTTGTTTTATGGCATGACTGCCATTTTGTTTATCGTTGAACTAGCACACAACAGCAACAAACATACATTCAACTTTGTTGTAAAGGAAATCACAGGCACCGGACGTTCTACGCGTGAAATAGAACTGTTATAAAACTAACATAGCATGGGTCGCTTAAGAAATGTATGCTTCTTGCTATTTTAGCAGTATAATAGTTATATCTCACATAAGACATGATATCTCACTTATGATGTCCTATACCTCAGATATGATGTCCTTGTAGTGATACAAACCACGGTATGAAATAAACGGTCCCGCTTAAACGACATCTTTCCTATTCTTAAGATTCATATATTATTTTGCTTGGGGAATTTGGTGATATCTGGTTGAAGTTATCCCTAAAACAATACAGAAAATTATTAATAGTATTCCTACATTGAAATTTGGTTTTGTTTTTGATTTTGTTTTTTTTTTTTGTCTGTTTCAAAGCTGTAAATTTGGACATAGAAATGACAAAAACAATAAGTTTATCAACAAAATCAACCATCAGTGAACAGTCTAGCAATTGTTTCTATCATTCTGATACCACACAAAAAGCGAAAATGGAGTTAAAAATATTTCACATAAATTCATGTATCATTTGTTAATACAAAATTTATTGAGATTCTGTCAAAAACCTCAAAACTTTGATAACAATTGGCATAAGGGCCATATTTCTAGCAGACTATATTTTGCGAAGGCATTTTCAAACTCCTTAAATTCAAGTCCAGTATATGTGCGATATGAAGACATTATACAGGAGTCCTTCATTATAATGTCACACCACTGTATGCTTGAAAGGTTATCATTATTCATGTATAATTCATCCAAAATATTTTTTTAAATATAAAATTAACTGATTTTCTTTTTATGTTGCAGAAGATGTGTATCTGACAACTTGATTAGAAGTCACCTAAAGATGGCTGAAATGGATGTCCTATACACTCTGCTTGAAGGTTGGTTCATCTGTGTACATATAACAGTGGAAAGCTTATATTCCAAAATAATCAGATTAGTTCTTACCATTGTTGCCAAGACAATTAATCACTAGTACAATTCTTAAAAATTCCTGTAAAAGTTGTTAAATCACAGGAAAATTGTTACTATCAGCCTTGAAAAGCTTTTGTCAATAAGTAAAAAATAATTCATTACTTGTAATAAACAAAGATTAAAAAAAAAATCAAGATTGTAAGAAACTGATGAGTCTGACTCTTTTGCAGTCAATATATCATGAAACAGATTATGATAGACAATCAGTTATGTGTGATCAGGTATTGATTATGAAACAGGAACTTATTTCCGTCACCAATATAATAGTGTCCAGGGCTCTCACACCCCATTTTGGGACTGGCCCGTGGCCCTTAGAATTGAGAAGAAAAACAGTGTTTTCCTTAGAATTTAGAAAACGTAGGGACTAAATTTGGAAAAAAAGATACCATTTTGCATATTTGGCCCCAAATCTGGCAGATTGAGAGCCCTGGTGTCATGTGAGTGATGCAAATATAATACAAGTATAATCTGATCAGATTGGTCTACTGTGGAGTACACGTTGACCTTCCCTACTATATTGATGGACTATATGTAGGTTGATATTTGTTTTTAGAAGGAGCATGCATGTGTAACCCTATTATATACTAGCCACAATGTACTGATTGGTATAGAGATCTTGTCTTTAACTCTGTTGTTGTGCACATGACTAGTAAACTAAAGGTCATAGGTTCGACTGCTAGCGGAAACATTGAAATAAATAATGGAATGTTGTTATATACTATGTGGAATGTAAGGAGTGTGAATTGGGATCTGTATTTTAATCAGTAATAGCCGATGGTCATAATATTTAATCCATGAACATGGAGGGAACGGTTTTGGGTTGAATGTAAGCACATGTACAGACATTTTTCAAGGTTGATTTTTCAATATTTGTTTGTTTGCCGGGTTTATCGCCTCGTTAACAGCCAGGGTCATTATTAGGCTGGGCCTCTTTATAATAGTTGGCAACAACCACATTGAATAACATTTGGGAGGCCTGTCACATGCCTCCCAGAGAAATTAGGGTAAAGTGTCTTATCTATTACATGTATGCAACCACATCAGCACAGACAGGTCCTTATCTTTACTTCATAAGAACCACAAATTGCAATGAGAACCACAAACCTCAAATCTAACCTCACTTTAACAGAATAAGATATTATGGACCCTATATTTGTGTTGTGCTATACAGCTGTTATGCTGCAATAAACACCAGAAGTTTAATTACAACTAATCAAACAGGCATATCAAACCTGTATGATATTTACTTGTGAAATGTGGGATGTGAGATGTTTACTCGTAAATTGTGGGAGGTGTGATGTTTACTTGTAAAATGTATGACGTGAGATGTAAACTTGTAAAATGTCAGGGGGTGTGATGTTTATCTGTAAAATGTGGGAGATGTGATGTTTACCTGTAAAATGTGGGAGGTGTGATGTTTATCTGTAAAATGTGGGAGGTGTGATGTTTACCTGTAAAATGTGGGAGGTGTGATGTTTGCCTGTAAAATGTGGGAGGTGTGATGTTTACCTGTAAAATGTGGGAGGTGTGATTTTTTCTGTAAAATGTTGGAGATGTAATGTTTACTTGTAAAATGTGGGAGGTGTGATGTTTACTTGTAAAATGTGGGAGATGTGATGTTTACCTGTAAAATGTTTAAGGGGTGATGTTTACCTGTAAAATGTGGGAGGTGTGATGTTTATCTGTAAAATGTGGGAGGTGTGATGTTTACCTGTAAAATGTGGGAGGTGTGATGTTTGCCTGTAAAATGTGGGAGGTGTGATGTTTACCTGTAAAATGTGGGAGGTGTGATTTTTTCTGTAAAATGTTGGAGATGTAATGTTTACTTGTAAAATGTGGGAGGTGTGATGTTTACTTGTAAAATGTGGGAGATGTGATGTTTACCTGTAAAATGTTTAAGGGGTGATGTTTACCTGTAAAATGTGGGAGGTGTGATGTTTATCTGTAAAATGTGGGAGGTGTGATGTTTACCTGTAAAATGTGGGAGGTGTGATGTTTGCCTGTAAAATGTGGGAGGTGTGATGTTTACCTGTAAAATGTGGGAGGTGTGATTTTTTCTGTAAAATGTTGGAGATGTAATGTTTACTTGTAAAATGTGGGAGGTGTGATGTTTACTTGTAAAATGTGGGAGATGTGATGTTTACCTGTAAAATGTTTAAGGGGTGATGTTTACCTGTAAAATGTGGGAGGTGTGATGTTTATCTTTAAAATGTGGGAGATGTGATGTTTACCTGTAAAATGTGGGAGGTGTGATGTTTATCTGTAAAATGTGGAAGGTGTGATTTTTATCTGTAAAATGTTGGAGATGTAATGTTTACTTGTAAAATGTGGGAGGTGTGATGTTTACCTTTAAAATGTGGGAGGTGTGATGTTTACCTGTAAAATGTGGGAGGTGTGATGTTTACCTGTAAAATGTGGGAGGTGTGATGTTTACCTGTAAAATGTGGGAGGTGTGATGATTACTTGCAAAATGTGGAAGTGTAGTGTTTACCTGTAAAATGTGGGAGATGTAATGTTTACCTGTAAAATGTGGGAGGTGTGATGATTACTTGTAAAATGTGGAAGTGTAGTGTTTACCTGTAAAATGTGGGAGATGTAATGTTTACCTGTAAAATGTGGGAGGTGTGATGTTTGATCTAGATCAACTTGTACAATGTATTTATTGCTGTGCTGATTTTCAGTCTGTGATGTTTGTGGCAATCAGCACCCTACCGAGGCCTGTCCAGAGCTTGGGCTCAATACAACAACACTGATTGAGCAGACAAAATCAAGGTAAATAATACAGTATAAAATTTATCATGGTTTTTGATGAATAAAATTTATTCATTACATACCATACCAAAAAACTGACGCCTCAATTTTGTAGAAATATAGTTAATGTATTTTCCTTAGTTAGGGCTGTTATGATAAAACATCTATCCCACCTTAGGACTCCTGGTTTTGTTTAGAGGGTATTACCAAAAAGCCTGAAAAAATTTGATTGATAATTTGTTTAGATATAACAGGCAGGAAACCAGGTGAAGGACATAGCATTTATTTTGGTGTCCTTCATGAAATGGAGTCTTTAACAGCAAACAGACAATACTTGAAATAAGTCTCTTCTTTCATGTAAGAAATTTATTTGTATATTGTTTACAGGGCACGTCTAACCTTACCTGCTTTCCTGTTTGAACTGGACATAGCTGGAGAAGTAGGGGTGTTCACTCGAGACTCTGTCCTAGTCAAGAAGACCCAGTTTGGACCATTTGAAGCTAAGAAAACAACACATGAATTCAGTGATGATGGTGTTTTTATACTAAAGGTATCAATTAAAATATGCAGGATTATGGATCGTATATAAGGTTTTCATTAAACCTTCTATATAGGTATGGGGGAATACACTTTTGTGTGCAAGATATCTCATGAACTGACAGGGCTCTCACACCCCATTTTAAGACATGGGCCCGGGGCCCTTAGAATTGGGAAAAAATAGCGACGTTTTCCTTAGAATTGGGAAAACTTGGGGTCTGAATTGAGAAAAAAAGATATTGTTTTGCATTGGGAATGGGGCCGAAATCGGCCCCAACTCTGGCAGATCGAGAGCCCTGACTGGTGAACAAATTTAGTTGATATTCACTCCATAGCATCACCCACCAAGGGGATACACCTGATTAGAAAGTGATAGCCATAGGTTAAGGATAAAGGGTAACAATTGCCCAATACCGCTTTCAAAATGAAAACTATACGTACAAGATATCTCTTGAACCACTGTTCATTGTTTTTTCAATTTTACATATTTTTGTATCAAGATTGTTGATTGGTCAGTTGTAGAAAATTATCTATTTTTTCAATATTTATTTCTTTAAACTGGTCTGTTTCATAGCAGGGAAATAGCACCACTTTTATCAACTTGAAATCACATTGACATGGAACTGCTAGTGTGTATTGTTTCTTTTTTTTTCTTTAGTAGTATAGCCTTTCATTTCTTCAGTTTTAACCAGGTTTGTTTTGTCACAGGTAACAACAAAGGATGGCACTTGTATCAGTCTTGACACTACTAATGAGAATGACTGTAATTGGATGTGCTTAATCCGTGCTGCACTCACGTCCGAGGAACAGAACTGTATCGCGTATCAAATGGGGACAAATCTCTACTATAGTACTACTAAAGATATACCTCCTGGAACAGAACTACGGGTATGGTACGCACCGGCCTATGCCCGTCGAGTTGGGAAGCCGGAGCTACCTGATGGTGTCAGTAAAGGTAGGTAACTCTGACAGGTTTTATCTGATTAATAACAATATTTATCTCCCCTGGTCTGGTGAGCAGCCTACACAGATGTGTCTTATTATAGAAGTCATGTCAGCATTGCCCTGTAATAAGCCCATTTGGCTTCTAAAGGTCAGAGGTAAGGTTTTGGTTCCTAGGGCTTATTACATGAGAAAAATGTAGTCCACATTAGAACCTCACAAGTGTTAGGCAGTTTTGTGTGCAATGAATGAATGTAAGCCTGAATTGAAGGACCAAGTGAGCTGTAGGGATACTGCGGCATTCATCGTCTTGCAATTTCTTTAAAATGTATTTTTTTCTTTAAGAGTTACAGGATATTGACCAAATTTGGTCTTAAGGATACTTGGTTGAAGGAAAATCAGTTTGTAGAAACAGTGGGTCTTGGCCCCCTGGGGCCAGAGGAGCAGGACCCATGAGGGAAAATCTATCAATTTCTTAAAATTATATCTTGTTCTTCAGGAATTGCATGATATTGTCCTGATTTTGTCTTGATCATGCTTGAGTGAAGAGAAATCAGTTTTCTATAAACAGAAGGTCTCAAGCCAGAGGGGCAAGGCCCTATAGAGAAAATCTATCAATTTTTTAAAATCCATCTTGTTCTTCAGGAATTGCAGAATATTGTCCAAATTTGGATGGAAACATGCTTGAGTGAAAAAAAAATAGTTTTGTATAATTAGTGGGCCTCAACCCCATTGGGCTAAAGGGGCATGCCCAATAGGAAAAATCTAATAATCCTTTAAAATCTATCTGGTCTTTGGGAATCACTGGATATTTTCCAGATTTGGTCTGAAGCATGCTTAGGTGAAGGAAAACCAGTTCTGCATAAGCACACAGTCTTGGGCCCCTGGGACCAGATGAACAAGGCCCAATAAGGAAAACTATCATTTTGTTTAAAATCTATCTTTTTCTTATGTAAAATGCCTGGATTCTGTCCCAATTTGGTGTTAGACATGCTTGTGAAAAAGAGATAAGTTTTGTATGAACAATGGGTTTCAGTTCATTTGGACTTGGAGGCTAGGGCCAAATAGGGGACACAGAGAAAATTCTTTGAAATCTTTATGGTGTTGGAACTGATCAAAGACATTCTTGGTGCAGAAGCTTAGTTATTTACAAACATCTGCATCTAATCCTATTTGGAGGAGAGTTGAGTCTATTAAAGATAGATACAAGTGTTTTAAATACTTTTCCCTTAGTTAAAATAAATCAATTTCTGACAACTAAATCAGGTGAGTGATGCAGGCTCTATGGGCTTCTTGTTCTACACGTGAAATGAAGCAGAGAATAGTTGAAGAGACAAGTGGGATGTTTGGTAATCCTATATCATTTGAATGTTTTACAGTTATGCTGGGAATGAAAGTGATATATCCCTCAGTAGAGCACCTGCCTGATAGTCTACAACCTGACCCTCACACTGATGAAAATGTAGAAGAAGAATCAGAGGTAATTGTTAAGAGGTTATCTTGTATTTAAAAGCTGCAAAAGTCATAAATTCAAGGTGTTTTACTTTTCAGTATTTTTAGGTCATCTGACCAAAGGGTTTGATGACCTATTGTGATCGCCTTTTGTCTGGCGTCGTCCATCGTTCATCATCCATCGTAAACATTTTCAACTTCTTCTCAAGTTCTACATGGCTCATTGAGCTGAAACTTACCTGAAATGATTGTGACATAATCCTGACCAAAGTTTGTTAATTTCAGGTTGGTCCGAAATCCAACATGGCCGCCATCTTGAAAACACATTTTCAACTTCTTCTCAAGTTTAAAATTTGAAATATGGTATTTTATGTCTTATGACCGTTAAGGCCCTTGGGCCTCTTGTTAAAAATGGAACTCAAAATTGGAATATAATCACAAACATTTGATACAGTGGAACTGTTGCAAGTCTGCCACTTATAGGACGGGAACATTTAGCAGGTTAATAAAGCATTCGTTTTACAGAAGTGGAAGAAGTTGATGGATCTGGACCCATAAATGGTCTCAGCTTCCAGGGGCTAAAGGGACAGGACCCAATAGGGAAAATCTATCAATTCTTTACAATCTATCTTGTTCCATAGGAATTGCAGGATATTGCCCAGATTTGGTCTGAAGCATGCTTGGGTGAAGAGAAATCAGTTTTGTATAAATGGTGGGTCATTAGATTCCATTACTTACTCAAAACTGGCTTTCTATCTGTGTAGAAGTACTTGTTTTCATCTTGTCGTTACTGAGTCAGTAGTAATGCATGAAGTACATTACAGAAATTGGTCTTCATGGCTCTGGTAGACCAGTTTTCAGAAGTTATTTACATGATATTTGAAGGTTTTTTTCATTACTATAATTTATATATTTATATTGGTTTGGGGAAGTTGCACTGTACCTTAGATATAGAAAATTGAAAACAAAATTACATTTTTTAAATTGTTTATTTTCTATTGGAAATAGTTCAGACATGGTTAGAATTATAAGTTGATGTTGACAGTTTGATGAGATTCACATATTGACCTCAGCTGACTCCCAGGGGTTGATAGGCATAGCCAAAAAATTGGTCAAATTGACTGAAATTTCAAAAATCTTCTTAATACCCTGATAAAGTAAAACCAATGGTGCTTTACCAAAATTGTAAATTTCATGAACCCAGGGTCTCACATTTTTTCCTTGGGGAAGGGTTAAAATTTACTATAGTTTATATAGGAAAATTACATTTTTGAGCACAATTTGTCTTGGTTAGAATTATTGGTATAAGATGACAGTTTGATAAGATGCACATACTGACCATGCCTGACTCCAAGGGACTGATAGGCGAGGCCAAAAATGGTCAAAATAGGTCAATTTGACTAAAATGTTGAAGATGTTTCTGGATGTAAGATTTTATATAGGAAAATTCAATTTTTGAGTGTAATTTCTTTTAATTCAAACTTGGTGTGATACCTTAGCACAGAATGGTGGTTAATGTTTTGCACAATATACATTTGCATTATGTGTGCAATGTAGTTAATGTTATCTTTCTTTTTTTGACATAATCACTTTTTTGACATGTTACATGTGACTCAGGTGACCGTTATGGCCCTTGGGCCTCTTGTAAAATTTTCAGTGTCCAGGATGTTGCTATTTCTAGTGTAAAAAGACTAATTTCATTTTTCTTGATTTCAGGTTGATCCAATTCCTACTGGAAAGGTAACACCTACATTCTCTTGTAAACGCTGTGGCGATGGTTTTCAAACAGAATCAGATCTTGCTCTGCACCTTCGGCATCACATCATACCAAACTATTCCCCACTGATGAATGGAAAACAGCGTAAAAAACTAAAAACTAAAGGTCAAACATCAAAAAAAAGAGGAAGAAAACCGAAAGCAATGTTAGTAGCAGCTAAGAGAATGAAATTGGAATCCCCAGCAAAGTATGAGAGTGAGGAAGAATCAGACACAGTTGAAGGTAAAGAATCAGTGAAGGATGAAGGAGAAAAAGAGGAGAACAGTGACGAAGAATTTACACCTGTTGCAGTTTCTACCTCAAGCATTCCAGATGGAGGCCGACGCATTCAACCAAGACGAAGTCTAAAGGGTGTTCGTACATCAGGCTTTGAAGCTGATAAGAACTTTGTATACGTCAAGATAAAGACTGAGAAACCTGATGATGGTTATGGTGTGTCATTCTCTAAAAGTAAAAACTTGCAGGGGAAAGATGTTACTGATGATGTCCCTTCCTGTGAAACACCTGTCTGCCATATAAAGGAGAATGGTGTAGAGAATGAGGAAGTCCAGACAACTGTTAAGCGAAAGAAAAGGGGCCGTCCTCAAAAGGTCAAAATTACAGAAAGCTCAGAGGTTGAAAACTCTGTTAGATCACCTTTAAAACATCGCGAGAATTCTGTCAGCTGTGATGATCATTCTGCCTCAAAAACAGACTTAACAGAAGGGAGGAAAATGTTTAAAGGAGAAATGGTTGATGATAACAAGGACGTAAGAGCAGAAACTGATAAAACCAGTGTCAATGAAAATAACAGCATAAAATCAGAAGAACATAAGAGATGTGACAAAAACGAAAAAGACGAAGACTGCAATTTACCTGCAAAGGTTGCCGATGGAAGAAATAACCATAAGTCTCAAAAAGATTCAACAGAGAGTAATGAGAACGAGGCATGTAAGGGTAGTTCAGTAGAACAAACTGATTCAACTGACCAGGAAATAGAGTGTGGGAATCATAAGAATGATGGTCTGTCACCTGAGGACAGTGACTTGTTAGCATATAATAAAACCATTAGAAATAGCAGTATTTCTGATAACCAAACAAACGATAAAACAGTGGTGGTAAAATTTTCGTCGAATTTGAATGAACCGATGGAAGAAAATGTCGATCAAGCAAGATCTAATGTTGATTTGGTACCCAACCAGGCAGAAAGTAACACAACCGCAAACAACCCTGACAGAATACACATGCCAAGTGTTGAATCCATTGCAAATATAACTGTCGACGATGATCTCCAGAACATACTGGACGAGTTGGACAAGACTAACGCTAATATGCAAGGAAATACTCCATCATTGGATAAGGAAGAAGATATGTCCGAGGAAAAGAATCCAGCCAGAAGTGAACTGGAGGAAACGGTACATCAAGAAAAGGAAGCAGCAGACAAGGATACACAAACTCCTGTAATTAATGATGCTAATAATAATGATGATGATAATGATGATGATGATGATGATGATGACGATGATGAAGATGCTGATGAGAAATCTGTTGATAAAGATGAAGAAAGCAACAGATTAATTGAAACTGGTAATTACTCAGAAGGAGAGGAGAATGATAAGGCCACTATGCCCTTCCATGACTATGTGGCGAAGCTGGTGGGGAAAAGTGACGAGTTGCAGGAGGATTCAGCTGAATTTGTAAATGATATAACTGCAAAGCAGTTGTTGCATGATAAAACTGCTGTGGAGGTTGATAGCAAAGAAGATTTTTTGAAGTATATGAGGATTGAAGAAACCTCAGAGGGAAAGCATTTCATCTGTAGTCTTTGTGACAAAAAGTTTTTACACGAGAAGTATCTTCGTCTCCACTTTCCAGTACACACAGGAAAGTTTAAGTGTAAAAAGTGTGGAGCCAAATTCTGTAGAAATGACTCATTGAAGCGTCACCAATGTACGAATGCTTCAAAGGGAACAAGGCTACCAAAAGGGTCTGTACAATCCAGTTCTTCATCTCTGTCAACATGTGACATATGTGGCCAGCAGTTCTCCAATCAGAAGTACTTGTTCAGACACATGGCCATACATACAAATATATTCCAGTGCTTGACGTGTCAGAAGTCGTTTTCCCGAAAGGATTCACTTCAAAGACATATTCTGAAATGTTGTCCAGAGGACGCAGAACAATACTCAGTTTTCATTTGTGGGAAATGTCAGAAAACCTTTGCCACTAAGCTTGGTTGTGAAAACCACGAGACCCACTGTAGGCAGAAGATGTGTAAACAATGTCACAGCGTGTTTGCTTCAGAGAATTTATTCTTAGCTCACAAGTGTCATTCTAAAACTGAACCAAGTCGAGGTGGTGGCGTCAAATACAACTGTAGTCAGTGTCCAAAATCTTTCAGCAACCTCAACTACCTAAAACAACACTTGCAGATCCATGAAGGCGGTTATATCTGTCAGCTGTGTGGACGGAAGTTAAAGACTAAAGAAGAAAAGGAGGAGCATGAGAAAATGTGCATGGCATTATCCATGATACAGAATGAGGGCAAAACCAAATGCACATCATGTGACCTCCAGTTCACTGATGCTAGACTGTACAGGGAGCATTATCATTCCCATACTCATCCGCACCAGTGCTCGAAATGTCAGAAACGCTTTGTTAAAATAGGCAGCCTTCACAGTCATGTGTGTATGGTCGAAGAAGAGAAAAGCTTCCTCTTTTCATGTACCGTTTGTAATAAAGATTTCCGCACCTCGCGCTTGTTGCTGCGTCACAAGGAAATTCACCAGGAACATAAATATCAGTGTCAGCACTGCGATAAAAAGTTCTACCGAAGGGACTACTATTTGAAACATGTCTGTAAGGATGCAGATGGTATTGATATGGTAGTGGATAGGAATTTTGAAATTCGAGCCCAGCAGGATAAACTTGTGTGTCACATTTGTGGTAAAAACTTTGTTAGTTCAAGCAATCTGAACAAGCACATGAAAGTGCATGGAGAAAAAACATGTGTTTGTCACATATGTAATAAACGGTTTCACTATGCAGAGTACCTCCGTGTTCATCTTGAGGGGTTCCACAACAAGAAACACCAGTACCAGTGTGCAGAATGTGGGAAAATCTTGACATCAAAACCTGGTCTCACCTCTCATGTTAAACAGTTTCATTCGGACGAGAAAGAAGCATATCCTTGTCCTACATGCGGCAAGGTGTTCAGCCAGAAAGGCAACATGAAAACACATATGTACTCGCACACAAAGGAACGAGGTTTTCAGTGTACCTATTGTACGAAAGCTTTCAAATATCCAGATCAGCTGAACAGACACAAGCTTATTCACACGATGCAGAATAAGCTTCAATGTGATCATTGTGAGAAGAAATTCACTAAACTATATGATCTGAAGAAACACTTCGAACTTTTCCACAGTGGTATGATGTACGTGTGTGATGTGTGTGGGGCACGAACAGGACACAGACACACCATGGTAAGACACTATAAAAGAAAGCACCCAGAGATGGCTGAACAGGCAAAAGAACCATCCTACCTTAACTCACTGTTTAAACATGTAGATAAAGAAGAACCAGAAGTTCCCAATGAAGAAATTATAGAAGACCAGTTAAATTCTGAGGTGTTGCCAGTGAATAATGTTTCAAATTTGATTTGTGGCGAGGAATTTGTACCACAATCGGCTGCAGAGGTATTACACAGCCTGTCGAACACAAACGTTGCTGGCGATCAACCTATAATTGTTGCTGATGGCACTACTGTTATTCAGAACCCTGACGGTACCATATCTATGCCAGGTCAGGAAGGCACTTTCAGTATACAAAACATCCAACAAGCTGTAGAGGGTCCGGACGGTCAGTCAACAGTGGTCATATTACAATTCGTTGGTCAGCAGGACAGTGATGGCGTCACTCAACATCAGGAGGTACAGGTACAGGAAGTGGACACCCAAATCATCACAGCTGGAACAGTACAGGATACAGGGGAGGAAGTAGAGACATACATACATTCTTATGTTGTAAGTGATCAGTTACAAGAGGCTGTTCAATAACGTGTTGGCTGCACACAAGGGATGAGATGTGAACAGAGAGTCATAACACTTCAAAGTGGCCAAGATCTCTAGTTATAGATAGAATCTGGATTGTTTTCTGACCTTGTTTAATTCTGTATGAAATCATTTCTAATGTTTTCCTTACTCTTCTTCCCTGTTTTTATCTTAGAAAAAGTAATTTTACGTTTGTGTCATTTGAAATTCACAAAGTTTCAAAATGCAATAAGTCAATTTCAAACCCATTTTCATTTGTTTAACAAAACTATGGTCACTGAAAGAACAGTGTGATGAAATAAGATTATTGTACTGTACTTTCAGGCATTTATGACTGGTAGTTCAAACTGATACAGTCAAGTTGGTGAACTACAGTGGTATTGCATGCCTTCAATCTTTATATATAAGAAAAAGTTTTATGTGCTTATTTGAAATTTGTCACAGAAAGAATGTTGATTGTTGATTAATGAAACACACTTCACACGAAAATTTATATGTGGTTCTGAAAGGATATAAGCAAGTATAATGAATACTTCTTCATAATCCAAAAATGTGTGTAAAAAAGAGATTTCCATACAACCAGGATTCTGTTTGTGATAAAATTTAATTTATTGTAAAATCAAAACCATGAGAATTGAGACTCATGAAAATATATGATTTTACAGTAAGTGTTTTTTTTTTTTATATTTATGATTTTAACATAAGTTATTTACAATTGATATCACTGTGATGATATACTCTATTATTCATTTGGTATTGCTGTTTTTTGTGCAGGAGTTGATTTTGCAGTTAAATAAAAAAAAAATCAAAGATTTGACTCCGTTCACCGGAAAATACTATTTTGCAAGTCTCTATATTTTGACATAGACATCAGCTGGGTATTACCCTGAATTGTTTTTCATCACTCGATACGGTTGATGAGTTTAATTATCTGTCCGCACTTCGGCTTTTCTCGGTGGCTTTCGGGAATCTTCAGCATCCAAAATCTATGACGTCAGTTCCGCCAGACGGTAGTAACAGAGGGAGTCTCGTATACTACAGTAATTTTATAATGAGTCTTATTTCAGAAGTGATGTTACACATTGTTATGTAGGTGTATTATAAAACTAGTGAAAAATCAAAGATGTTTATGCTTATTAAATACAAAATGGTATAAAGTATGCGAAACATAACAACTGTGACGAACAACAACTAACGGATCAGTTTGCTGAACTCTTCAATGTTAACTCTTTTAACATGTTTACACCAAGGCGCATTATCAATTTCAGCAGGTGCTGACTTTATGTCATATATAAACCTGGGTGAACACCATGACACACACGTCACCAGAACACTGATGTTCGTCAGTGAGACGGTGCCCGGACACGGGAGGAGTCATGGAGACTGCAAACCCGTCCTATAGACAATAGTTACCAGTGTCGTTAACGTCGCCATTTTTGTAGATTGGTACTATACAACCACGTGACCACATTTCTGGGAAGTATCCAAAAATCAAATAATTTTCCAAAGAGTCTAGTAATGCAAGGGAGCAAAATTTCTCAAAGTCTAAGAAAAGTTCGTTAAAAATACAGTCTTCGCTGCAACTTTTATCTCGTTTCAGCTTAAGGATGGCAATATGTACTTCTGTGAGTGGCTTATCTAGTTCTTCGAGTACAGCAGAATCAACGTTTTCCGATAACATACTTGGATTGTCAATATTATTAATATTACTATCTCCCAAGTTTTTGAAATATTCAACAAAATCTTTCAAGTTTAGATTTGACTTCGGTACACTGCTTCAACCCTGTGAAAAATATTGATGAAATGTTTTTTTATTAGACGTTCTCAGATATTCTATCATGTCACCTTCTCGATGCTTGTATTGCCGTTTTAATCTCGATTCTAGTTTCTTATACAAAGATTTTTTTTTCTGATGAGAAAAGAGTGATTTTCAACAGACTGATTTTATTAAAATCATACAAAGCTTTTTTGTAATCCATGTATCTACGTTTACACTGTCCAGAGAACCATGGTTTGTCGTCTATTTTATCTTTATTCTTAGATGTATTATAATCAAAATTATCTGTCACCTTTTTCGCATTGCAATTTGGTACTACTTCATGCAGAATGTCACAAAAATTGGTGATGCATTTATCAATATCTTCTCTAGTATGAAACGGTACGTTACAAGCAAGTAGGATAGTGTAACTGGTACATTTTTTATATTGGTTTGCTTGAGAAATAGTAACGAGTTGAAATCGCCATAGAGACAGGTCTAATCCAAAAAAAAACCCTGGTTATTCAGAAGGATTGCTATCAAAATCTCGACTTTTAAAGCATTTGGTATTTGTATTAAAACGAGCTATCAACTGTGTCTTTTTGTACATATATTGCATATGGTAGACACTGCTGGTGAACTTTTTGTCCGCGATATTGCTTTAACCTAAATGCCACTTATAATTCATTCGAATAGTGGTACGGTTCAGAATCCACACACTAAGTTCTTTTGAAATTATGAGATAGATGTAAATTATGAAATTAACATTGATATCCTTTGATATTTTTGTCGATCAATTTTGGATTTCCTTCGTCGCCTTATAGGTTTCAAAACTTAGGTATTTATCATCACTTTGGAGCCCTAAAAGGACAGAACAACGGTAAGATGCTGTCTAAATCTAAATTTGTATCGAAAGGTGCCGTTCTCTTGTGTGTTTTATACAACCTTCTTAAAGTTATGATAGATGTAAGATAGGTTATTGCATTAAAATGAAGAGAAATGAAAAAAATCAAACGTAGATTATATAAAGCTGGCGACAAGACAACGTGGATGAAATAAAGCTGGCGACGAGACAACGTGGATGATATAAAGCTGGTGACGAGACAACGTGGATGATATAAAGCTGGCGACGAGACAAAGTGGATGAAATAAAGCTGGCGACGAGACAAAGTGGATGAAATAAAGCTGGTGACGAGACAACGTGGATGATATAAAGCTGGCGACGAGACAAAGTGGATGAAATAAAGCTGGCGACGAGACAAAGTGGATGAAATAAAGCTGGCGACGAGACAACGTGGATGATATAAGGCTGGCGACGAGACAAAGTGGTTGAAATAAAGCTTGCGACGAGACAATGCGGAAGATGTGAAACTGACGACGAGACAAAGTAGTTGAAATAAAGCTGGCGACGAGACAATGCGGAAGATGTGAAACTGACGACGAGACAAAGTAGTTGAAATAAAGCTGGCGACGAGACAACGTGGATGATATAAGGCTGGCGACGAGACAAAGTGGTTGAAATAAAGCTGGCGGCGAGACAACGTAGATGATATAAAGCTGACTACGAGACAACGTTTATGATATAAAGCTGGCGAGGAGACAACGAAGTGAAGTAGATAAAATAGGTGACGAGACAAAGTGAAGTAGATAAAATAGGTGACGAGACAAGTGAGACAAAGTGAAGTAGATAGAATAGGTGACGAGACAAACTGAAGTAGATAAAATAGGTGACGAGACAAAGTGAAGTAGATAGAATAGGTGACGAGACAAAGTGAAGTAGATAAAATAGGTGACGAGACAAAGTGACGTAGATAGAATAGGTGACGAGACAAAGTGAAGTAGATAAAATAGGTGACGAGACAAAGTGAAGGAGATCAAATAGGTGACGAGACAAAGTGGAGTAGATAAAGTAGGTGACGAGACAAAGTGGAGTAGATAAAGTAGGTGACGAGACAAAGTGAAGTAGATAAAGTAGGTGACGAGACAAAGTGGAGTAGATAGAATAGGTGACGAGACAAAATGAAATAGATAAAATAGGTGACGAGACAAAGAGAAGTAGATAAAATGGGTGACGAGACAAAGTGAAGTAGATAGAATATGTGACGAGACAAAGTATAGTAGATAAAATAGGCGACGAGACAAAGTATAGTAGATAAAATAGGTGACGAGACAAAGTCAAGTAGATAAAATAGGTGACGATCTTTACTAACATAAACACTGACGCCATTGTCAATAAAGTTCATATTGTAATGAGAAATTCTCTATCTCACATGTACACACCTCAATCATAGTGCTCAATAACAAACCATGTCCACTTTCTTTCGATAAAAAGCTTGCAAGTTTGTTAATGCATTAAAGAAAGAGAACTAAGGAAAAAGTTTAAATCTATCAGGTACTTTGAACGCTGATAGGCTGCTTGCCTTAGCTGCATTATGTTGAATCCGTGATGAAGAGATAACTTGCTAATCCTTTGGTTGACATAAGTCAGATCTAAGTCAGATTACGTAATCGAGACATGGTTGGATGAAATTGATCTGGAAACAGATTGGATACCTTCGTTGAAAAGTGTGGATTGGAAAACAAGATATATCCATTTTGTTTGATTGGAAGGAGGCAATATCTACGACATTCTTTTTTATTAATAGTTCTTTCGACATTTGTTACAGGTTATGATGGAATATATGCCTGGGTCGCATGCAATTGATGTTGTCTGGATCTGTCTAAACATTTCCGCTTGCAGATGGAATATTGTTCCTTTTCCAGGACTTGAATTGGTGTGGAGTATTCACTGTTGGTGTGGATTTAAGACTAATGAAATATCTCATCTACTGATAACTGTTTATTTGCTAGGCTACCGTGATGCCTGTGATAGCGACATCCTTCGAGTTCTTTGTAATACTTGTCATCAAGTGACTTCATCATATCGTTAATAATCTCGTTCTCGACCTGCTCCAACTCTTTTCTGTGCTGATATGTCGTGGTCATGTCGGCGCGTAACTCGGACACGGTCTTCGGTTTTCTCTTTCCAAGCTCCCGTTTAACTTTCCGTAGATGCATATCGATTTCCTCCGTATCAAATGTTTCCGGCACTTTGTTAGAACCAGTCAGGTTTCCCCTGGACGAATTCAAGTTTGAGCTTGAACTTGAATTCGAATTTGCACTTTTTAATTTCTTTATGGGTTTTACATGCACCAGTGTTGCAGGAAGCGACATACGGCGCCCTCTGGGATTGATTCTGCTTAAGGCAGAACATGTCTCACAGTTATGAAGTCCTCTTGTGGATGCGATGTGAGAACCAATGCAGTGCGCAAACTCGTCTTCCGATGTATCGCCATGAGTCGAAAAATCTTTAATTTTTCTTCTCAATGATTGAACTGATTCCGCTTTCCCGAAACTTGCTGCTCGGGAACGAGGCTCGTCATTCTGTTGAACTGTGTCAAAGGAATTAATATAGTCTTTGTTGCCCCTCCTCTGGAGATAAATGGGCGTGGCATGAGAAGCTATGGCCATATTTATTCCGCTCTTTTTGTGTTCAATAACAGAAATTCTATCCTCGAGGTTGGCACTTAGTCTTTGTAATTCCATAGTTAGTTTCATGGAATCTATGCAGTTCTTTCTCGACAGGGTCGTCATGGTTACTCTGAAAAGTAGAAGTAAACCGTGTTAGTAAAAGTTGTAAAAAGGCTAGAGGGAGGCATCGACATGTTAACAAAATGTTTGGTAATTCAAACATAAATAAAATGAATAGGAAGTATTCGCAAAAGATATTCTTCACATTATAAAGGTATTTTATTTGTGTAAAAAAGACCTATTCGATCAATATCAGGGTTGTTTCGTTACAATAAATGCAAGCCAATCAGCTTTACTTTTGACTGCCAAAGTTTTGGAGAATTCATCCCTAGCAAACATGCTCATCACAAAGCGTACGGATTGGGAGCCAAAATGTCACATGAATGATATAAATATTGATACCTGGACATGAAAAAAAACATGTCTTATAACGTCCTATCTACCTGGACATGTAAACATGTCTTATAACGTCTTATCTACCTGGACATGTAAACATGTCTTATAACGTCCTATCTACCTGGACATGTAAACATGTCTTATAACGTCCTATCTATCTGGACATGTAAACATGTCTTATAACGTCCTATCTACCTGGCATGTAAACATGTCTTATAACGTCCTATCTACCTGGACATGTAAACATGTCTTATAACGTCCTATCTACCTGGACATGTAAACATATCTTATAACGTCCTATCTTTACGTGTGTCATATTACAGCACTGACCCTGTGAATCGATCCGCATGACTTGGTTTGCTGTGTGACGAAGTTTGAATATATTCCAAATTAAAAAGATACAATATCAAATTAACTACTATACAGTTGTAGGAATAAACAAGTCATCTAACAGAGGCATAAACACTTTGTGTTTACATAAAATTATAACCACAATGAAATATGTCAACATTTGATGTAAACACAAATTGTTTTTATGATTTGTGCCAAAATTTCAACGCAAGTTGAAATGTAAATAGAAAAAAAAACAGCTGTCCGGTGCAGGTGAATTCAATGATCGGCTCTAATCTATCTGATACTAAATTTGTATAAAAAAAATATGTTATTTACTGTTATGTCTTTATACAATCCTGTTTATTACCTGAGCAAAAACGAGTTTATCATTAGTCGTGGACGAATGATTTTATTTGTGAGTCTACCAAAGTAAGACCAGGACAACAAACCTTAAATTACACTCTAGATCATTTTTTAGATAGAAAAAACACACATATATGTATACATATATATAAGAAATATGTTCTGTCTATTCTTAACCCTTGATAACAACGGGTACAAAGTGTGAAAACAATGGCAATTAAAACTATGATCTGACATAACATAAGCTGTTCCTATTATCCTTCGATTTTGTTAATTACGCATATCAAATTGAAATCACACTAAACCAAAAATCTGCCAGTATCTATAATCGTGTTTCTCTTTCAATTGTTCAATTCGTCTGATCATTTTTCCTTAATATCGCAATATAAGCACACAATGTATTTAAATGACATGGATCTCCACGTCTTGCAAAAGAGTCCGTCCGTCTTCATTGTGGACGAACGTATGAGTTCTGTATCGAATGTGACGTCAACAGGCCTATAAATGAAATCTGGCATAGATATAATACATAGTTAATTGATAATTAGTCTATTATCATTCGTTAGAACACGACTACAAATTATTAAAAAGAATGTTCTGTATTATGTTGTTTCTGTTAATTCCCTCGTGTTGCATGTTCGATAAATAAAACTTCACATTGGAAAAAAATCTTCACGTGAAAATAAAGTAAGAATATTTTTTAAAAATTACAGATTCATTCTTATGTTACTTTTAGTTATAAGCGGTTATCTGCATTTTGTTGCAACCAACGCAAAATCAGCAGCGATTTTTCGCGTAAGAATATTAAAAAATTACACGAACATCTAATTTTCTTTGTTTATAATGGAAAGACGTACAGAAAAAAATACATGCATACATACATGTTCGAATTCCCGTGGATTGTATAGCCTTTAGTATTTCGCTCTCTGTTTCAGAATAGAATACTGTAATAGGGTATTCCTTCCAGCTTGTTTGTGAGTCCTGCTATGATCGCCGACTGCTATATACCCACAGAACTGGATCACGTTTATCATTTAAGCTTCATTATAAAAAAATGAAAATATTTTTTTGTCCGATGTGATGAAAAAAAATCCAAACTAACATGTTTTGATCCGGTAACGTACATTTAAAAACATTATCTACTTATCTTCACAACTCTGATTTGAAACTTGAAAGAATTTTTTAGCGAAAACTGTTATTAAAAGGTGGCGTGAAGCTGTCATTGCTTGGAGTAATATTTCGTGTGTATTGGCCCCGCAAAAGCATTGGATTGTCCGGTGTGCAAAAAGCCTGACGTACGACAAATCAATCAATAATTGATTCATCAATACATCGGCGTTAAAAATAGATTTAGTAACAAAATACTTCAATAACTTTATCTGAAATGTTTTAAGAGTGGTTGTTTTTTTAGGGTCGTAACCAGTCAGGGTTAAAGGTTCACGCTGACGGACTACAGACTGTGTACGTGGTGAGGATCGTGTTACATCTACACAGGTTTTTGCGACTGTAATGCGAAATATGATAAACTGTAATCTAGAGTATTGGATTATTTATTTAACCCGACGTACCAATAAGCTTGACCGACGTACCAATAAGGTTGACCGACGTATCATAAGGTTGACCGACGTACCAATAAGCTTGACCGACGTACCAATAAGCTTGACTGACGTATCATAAGGTTGACTGACGTACCAATAAGCTTGACTGACGTACCAATAAGCTTGATTGACGTATCATAAGGTTGACTGACGTACCATTAAGCTTGACCGACGTATCATAAGGTTGACTGACGTACCATTAAGCTTGACCGACGTATCATAAGGTAAGCTTGATTGACGTATCATAAGGTTGACTCACGTACCAATAAGCTTGACTGACGTACCAATAAGCTTGACCGACGTACCAATAAGCTTGATTGACGTACCAATAAGCTTGATTGACGTATCATAAGCTTGTCCGACATATCATCGGCTTGGCCTGACGTACTATAAGACTGACCGACGTATCATAGGCATGTCCGACGTACCATAGGCTTGTCCGACGTATCATAGGCCTGTCCGACGTATCATAGGCTTGAACCGAAGTAGCATGAGCTTGACCATCGTACTATAAGCTTGTCCGGCGTATCATAAGCTTGTCCGACGTAGTATAAACTTGACCGACGTAGTATAAGCTTGACCGACGCACCATAAGCTTGACACGACGTATCATAGGCTTGGCCTACGTAGTATAAGCTTAACAGAAATATCATGAGCTTGACCCAACGTACTATAAGCGTGACCCGACGTGTCATAATAAAATAACTTTAATATATCTCACCAACAAATGTATTGTAATGTGTAACGCGTTACTTCTATGTAAGACTTAGATGTAAATTTCATGTTGGAGTCGAGTTTACAATATATATTATTTGATATTTTTTAATAACTCGGGATAGCATGAACCTTGGATGCTGGTAAGGATATAATGAAGGGAACTTTCCATTGTAATCTGATCAAATATTTATCATCATATACTTCAGTAACGAGTGTTGGCAGGTACATGTAAAGACGATTTAGCTCTATAATTTATTATAATTGAATGTAAACATGTCGATCTTGGTTGCATATGCTATAATTACGATAGATATTGTCCAAATTGTGAAAACATTCTGTTTAATACATGTTACGTTAACACGGAGAAAGCAATATTTCTCACTGACGTTGAAGAGGTCCACGGGCCTTAACAGTCATCTGATTATGAAGAACTATATATGAAATAAGCCTAATCGGCTTAAATAGTTCGACTACTCTACAGCTTACAAAGAAAACATCGTAGGTTCATAAAAGCATTTTCTACAAACTTGAAATCCTATGTCTTATACATGCCCGCATGATACAGATCCAAGGCTCATAGGCGTTTTGATTATTGAAAAGAAGTCATTTAAATATTTTGAAATATTTGGCACCCGTGACCTTGAAAAGGTGGTCAAGGTCAATCACGTGAACAAACTTAGTATGCCTTAATGCCAGCATTATAAAAGACTAATATCAGCACGATGACTCCTTTTGTAATTGAGAAGAAATCGTATGAAGATTTAAACACATTTGACCTTTGTGACTTTGAAAGTAGCCTTAGGTTTTCCCTTTTAACAAACTCAGAAGCCGTTCTTCCCATCATGCTACAGGACAAATATTCCATTTGAACGGAAACTTTGCGCACGGTGCACGGCACTCGATGACGGACGAAGTTTGGTTTCTATTTGATTATTGAACACAATTTATTAAAAAAAATGTAAATGTGAATTTAGTTTGAGAAAATCCATTTCATCCACTTAAAGTTAGCAATAATTACATGAATTAAGTGAGAATTTAGTTAATCCAGAAGAGATAAACATTAAGGTTTTGGAGATCGCCTCATTAAACTTGATATGAGAATACAAGCGACGTCTATGCCGCTGCGATGGAATAGAAATCTTTGGCTACATCGAGATTCCTGCTGTGACAAATTCTTAATTATATCTAATAATGAGAAATATAGGCAGAGTTCCCACAGCCTAAATGATCTACCCCCAGTGTGCCTATCGCGTAATGTAGGATACCCAACACAATGTACAAATGTATTGGTGACAATGAGTTATTATGTTGTGACGGCGCCCACAACACAGATAGTACGTACTATAATGCCAGTAATCACAATTCCTTGCCCGTCATGCTTAACCGACTTGTAAAGATAAATGTATGTACTATTCATGTCTAAATTATTTACTTCCTTGGAATGCAGAACAATTTTGTTTATGTTTATGAGTTGTTTATGTTTACAAATTATTCATAACTTTATTTTTGTTTTTGTATTTTACAGACAATGACCTAGATATACAGAAAATGAAGGTTTAGTTACAAGAAATTAGGATACACACACTGACTTCGATTTTACAATGTCAAATGATGAGAGGCTTTTTCTCTCACGAAAGTCCACCAGACTAGATGTTA